GAAGACTGTCTGAGCAACATGTTTTTCTCGTTTAATTGTTTGTGTACACAGGGAAGATTATTGGACGAAAAGTATGAGTAAGATGTTTTTTTTATACGAAACAGCATTAACTTGTGAAAATATGGCAAAATGGACGATTTGGGACTGAGAAACCGAATTCACTTACATGCAAAGTCAAATGTTCACATTATCATTATGAAAATCATCTGTATGGTCAGCTTACATGTAAGCCAGGATATTTCCATGTTACTAGTGAACAAGGTGGACTGGCTTTAACATGCCGCTTACATGCAAGCCAGTCAAGTCTATATGAACACTATCAGGTAGCTTACATTTAAGCCAAACTATTTCCATGTTGCCAGTGAACAATATGGAATGGTTTAACGCACCGCTTACATGCAAGCGAAACTTTTTTTTACCATGTTCACATCGACCCTATACATCGACAGCTTACATGTAAGCGTGGTCTGAGATGTAAGCCAGGCTATTTCCATGTTACCAGTGAACAAGGTGGAGTGGTTTTACTCGTCGTTTACATGCATGCCAACCATGTTTATCTATGGTCAGCTTACATGCAAGCCAGCCTATTTCCACAATACCAGTGAGCATTGTGGAATGGTTTTAACACACCACTTACATGCAAGCCAGTCATGTCTATATGGACCCTGCCTATGAACAGCTTACATGTAAGCCAGGATGTCTCCAGGTTACCAGTGAACAATGTGGAATGGTTTAAACACGCCGCTTACATGCAAGCCAGTCATGTCTATATGGACCCTGCCTATGAACAGCTTACATGTAAGCCAGGATGTCTCCAGGTTACCAGGGAACAATGTGGAATGGTTTAAACACGCCGCTTACATGCAAGCCAGTCATGTCTATATGGACTCTGCCTATGAACAGTTTACATGTAAGCCAGGATGTCTCCAGGTTACCAGTGAACAATGTGGAATGGTTTAAACACGCCGCTTACATGCAAGCCAGCAAGGTCTATATGGACCCTGCCTATGAACAGCTTACATGTAAGCCAGGATGTCTCCAGGTTACCAGTGAACAATGTGGAATGGTTTAAACACGCCGCTTACATGCAAGCCAGCAAGGTCTATATGGACCCTGCCTATGAACAGCTTACATGTAAGCCAGGATGTCTCCAGGTTACCAGTGAACAATGTGGAATGGTTTAAACACGGCGCTTACATGCAAGCCAGCAAGGTCTATATGGACACTAACTATTGGCAGTTTACATGTAAGCCAGGATATCTCCACACTACCAGTGAGCATTGTGGACAGGTTTTAACACGCCACTTACACGCAGCCAACAAGGTATATATGAACACCACATATCGGCAGCTTACATATAAGCCAGAATGCATTTATACCATGTTATTCGCATGGTTTTATGGATGATTTTGATATTGTGATATAGTCTGAGATAGTTTTCCATGGAAATTCAATGATTTGACACATTTTGCACTGTGTCAAAAGAAATTTCACTTCGTTAATGGTATAAGACGTGAAGGCTCAATCTTCCTCCATAACAACACGTTTACGTTTCCTGTGATTGGCTACCATCTGTGATGTGTTTATTTTGGTCGTTGCCCAGTCTGCCATCGCTGGAAATCATCAAGTCCTTTCTGTCCCGCTTTAAATACACATCTTTCACTTTCATCCAATTTGCATGTCAGATGAGTTGTGTCTTCGTTGTAGGCATTCTGAGATGAATCCATAATCCTGCGAAATCTAGAAATGAAACCCTACAGAAACGAACAGATGTATGTCAAAATTATTAATGATTATATTATAGCAGATTATTCTATGATAATGTATTGCATTATTGAGCATCAAGGCCCCGTACCGTGTATAGGAATACAATGTTGAGTTTGGAAAACAAATAAAGAGACGAGCATTTAATAATAAGGGAAATTATGGGGTGAAAACGATTAAAATCAAAACTGAAAATGAATAACTCTGAGCTATATGAAAAATAATTATTTGTTCCTAGTTTACATGAAATTTCATTCCCGGCATAACGATAAACACAAATCCCTGTCTGGCCAATCTCAACTTCACGAGAAACACTCGGTACCGACGTAAATAAACATAGCTCACCAAAGGCAAACACAATGGCCTGTTTTATCGATGTTGACGAATCCCAGTTAAATGTGCTCGAAAACGCAAGAAATTTAAAAAATACTTCACAGCAGACTAAATGGGGAGTACGTGTTACACCACCAATTTTGAAGACCTTCCTGAGCTCGCCGACTTGCTGCAGCAAGTATAGCTAGACGTCGCTGTCTGGTTTACGAGCTTCCATCCTGGTCAGGAAATGATCATTGTTCAAGCATCAATCAGCTGGATTAGTGGGACAATGCTTGTAATAGAAATCCACAAAGCATGGTGACTATGTGGCTTATACTAAAGTAGGTTGGTCAAGATTTTAGAGTAATTTTGCAAGAATGAAACCCCTTTTACGATAAGTTCATATTCTCATAGTGCATATTGTTATTCTGCATGATATATCTCTGAGTGGAACTATGAGCTATTTCTTTACAAAACCTTGAGACGTTTGTGTCAGCGATATCTAAACGTATTCAATGTTTATGTCCCTGTTATTAGTTGTTTAGACAACAGCAAATTGTTCATTTTGGAAATTTCAAAGTGTGTTAAAATTGGTTGGCTGGTTGAAGATTTAATTTAATAATGATTTT